CGGTTACATGCATTTATTTGGGTTTTGATGTTTGGTGGAAAACTATTAGATATTGATAGCGATAGTTACATTTCTTGTATAATCAGAGCAATTGAACATATAATTATCATAATATTTTTTTATTTATTATAAATTTTTTAAATTAAATATTCATCTTAAAAATCGAAAATAATATCAAAACAAACGTTATCTCTTTTATTATTTTTTTTCATAACTCATATCATGAGATAAATTTATAATTCCTACACATAAAAGGGAGTATTAGAACATTAATAATCTCGTATTTATTAAATTAAAGATATTTTAGATATATAAATATAGTAAAAATATTTTTATAATTATAACTAATTGATTTTAAGTTTAATACTATCTAAAATTTAACATAATTTAACATTATATTTCAATATAATTTAAAATGGCATCATAATAGACAATGGCTTTGCTGTTACCTCTTTTGTAATTTATGTTATGTGATAAATTTGTGATTTCTAAAAGCCAAGGGAGTATTAGAGTGATAATAATTCCATGTCTATTAAATTGAGAATATTTTGAACATATAAATATAATAAACGTTTTTTCGCCTATTGTTAATTAGTTTTAGAGTAGATGTTCACCATAATTTAACAAAAACTTATTTTGGTCCGGGGCATGGAATTTGGAATAAATTTTTTTACTTCTTTAAGTATGTGCCAAACCAAATAAGATGATTTTTTTTTTTTGCTCATATATATCATATCCTTAGCAAATTTTTACTTTTTTTTGTTTTTGATTTAACCAATCCAACCAATCTCATTTTTAAATAAATTTTAACATTAAATATATGTATTAAATATGATAGAAAAATATAAAAAGTATTTGAATAAATAATTAAAGCTATTAATTAACATTTAAGAGGGTAAAGGTTCAAAATTTTTTAATTTTAAAGGGTACAAATAAAAATTTTAATAAAAAAATTTACAATTTAAAAATCCAATAAAATCAATTTAACTAAAAAATTGATCAATTCAACTTTTCAGCTATTTATCCTCAATTAGATAAAAGAGACTATCGATTCATCCAATCAATCCAGTCCATTTGATTTCTTTTAGGTCAAGTCTTTATATTCATGTATTTTGTTCAACTTAATTATTATACTCAAAATTAAAATAATTTACTTTATTGATTTTGAAAATTACTTCACTTTAGTCCATTTCCCTAATTGCATCAAATTTTGCCATTAAAAATAAAAACGTCACTGCTGATAGGGCACATTTTGAGAATGTGATATCAACATAATGACGTGCTATGCCACGTAACATAGATATGATAACATAATAGTGCCACATGATATAATATGATGACCTGACAATTTTGACATGACATTAACATGTGGAAGTGTCAATGCCACGTGGTAAATAAAATTTTAAAAAAAAATTTGTGCTACATCATAGAGACTAAATTGAACAAAAATATATAATACAATAACTAAATTGAACAAAATTGAAATATTAAGAGACTAAATTGAAAAAAAATTGAAAATTATGAATATTTAAGTCGATTATAGATATACTTATTAATAAATCAAATATTTAAATGTAAAAGATTTATAATGTTCAATAATATTTATAAATATTTTACGTAATTATTTGATGTTAGAATATTTACATTAATCTATATTTTTTATAAAAATTAAGTTTAAATTTTTTTTATAAAAAAATTTGAAAAAAAATTACATACCTAAAGTCAAATTTAAATGAATAACTTACATTGTATTAGAATAAAATAATATAAAAAATTAAATAAATTTTTTTATTTATAAAAATATAAATACAACCCTCCCTCCACCTCAAGTTATTTTGCTGTGATTACCTCTAGTTGTTGTTTAAGGTTTTGCTATCCTTTGTACCTACTTGCGAGGTTGTAAACGTTGGGTTATTGTATGATCAGGGGTGATCTTGTTCTGCACTTGTTTTGCAGAGTGATTTTTGTGATGAGTGGAGGGAGGGTTGTATTTTTTCAAATTTTTTTTTGTTTTTTATATTATATTATTTTAATATAATATAAGTTATACATTTAAATTGAACTTTAAGTATAAATTTTTTTAAAAATTGTTTTTTATAGAATGAGAATTTAAATTTAATTTTTATAAATAAGATAAATTAATGTATATATTGAAGAATTAAATAATTAAATAAAAATATATTTAAATATATTTTTTAACATCATACATGTTTTACACTTAAATATTTGACTTAATAATCTATTATCTACTTAAATATTTATATTTTTTAAATATTTTTTTTCAATTCGGTAACTCAATATTTCAATTTTGTTAAATTTAGTTCATGTACTAAATATTTTCGTTCAATTTAATCCCTATGATGTAATAATTTTTTTTGTAAATTATTTTAATCTATCATGTGACACCAACACTTTAACATATTAATGTCACATCATCATATTAGTATCATGTGATATTATCATATCATCATGTTGATGCGACATGACATATCCTATCATCATACGATGTCACATCATAAAATATGTCACGTTAGCATGCACATTAATAATAATGTCATTTTTTTAATAGTAAAATTAGATATCATTAAAAAAAATTAAATTAAAATAATTTTTAAAATTAAAAAAATAAATTATTTTAATTTAAGTATATGAATTAAATTGAATAAAATACATGAACACAAGAATTTTGTGAATATTTTAACTATTTTTCTTTCATTGGTATAAACAGTTACACCATGTTAAGAAAGGAAGTGAAAAGGAAGAAACTGAGGTGGAAAGAAAGGGAGGTAAAATCAGGGTGGAAACAGAGGGAAGGGAAGGGAAGGGGACCCATATTTGATATTTCTGAAAAATGGAAATGACTATTACACACTTTGATCTACATTAATTTACAAGTTTACCATCAAAGCATATTCTCAGCATGTTCCTCCGCTTATTAATTTCTTGGCATTGCTGTCAATGTTTTCACCCATCTCTTGGAGTTTTATGGATATTTTGTCCTTAATTTTTTGGCAGTTCCATGTGTGGCAATGGATATTTATTGTTTATTTATATTAATTTGTTAGTTCTTTATTTTATTACTCTTTTTACTTATCCCGTAACAATCAATTAGCAACCATATTTCGTGGTTTTATGTGAAAAAAAAATATATTCATAGATTTGTTCAAATACGTAATGCGCATAGATTTGTACGTATTGTATTACTAGATTTATACTCTTTGAAAAATTAAGAACCTTAATGATGCAAATTTTGACAAAAGAGTCCGGTTCTGACAGCATTAAGCAAATTTTGGCACAAGAGTTACCCTTGATGAATCGTACTATCATGTAATCCAATTCTATCAGTTAAATCTGAGAATGAACCCAAAAAGAAAATAAAAAAAAAAGGAATTTAACAAAGTAAAAATTAAGATACAAAATTAACAAAACGGAGAGAAGTTGCTGGCTGGTGTCAGCCCCTCCATGATGCTACCAAAATGCAATTGCTGCTGTCATCTGTCTACACATTAATGGTACACTTCTCTGATTGTTTTTTTCCCCACTTTTTCTCTTTCCCCTAGCTTCTCTTTCCTTTTTTTTTTTTCCAAATCCTTTTTCGATTTTTTTATCCTTTTTTTTTCAGAGTTCAACTACTTTGTCTTCCATTTCCTCCCATGTACAGATACAAGAATTTGACTATGACGACTAAGACTTGATGAGTTTTTCTGTTGTGTCAAAAACTCCTATACCTTACGCTGTCATGTCCATGGCTTCAATATATCACAACTCGAAGTAGCCCTGGCTGTGGTTCTGTATAGTCAAGGCACTCTTCTTCAAGGAGATATCGCTGTACAGCAACTGGAAGCCTTGCTGGAGTACGGGAACCCCTAGTATGGTGGCCAGTTCCAACACATATGTAAACCTGCAGACGCTGCTCTGCTGCCCGTGCTGTGCTCCTGAGCACTGACAGTTCATGCTTCAGCATGTGAATGGCTTCACTAACATGCAACCCATGCAGGTCTATCATCCGCTCCTGCGCTCTGACATTCTCTGGAGGAACTGGGTTCCTATATTTTTATAGTTCATAAACGGTCAAACAGAACAAACTAGTATTGACCCTACCAATTAGTATTAATCTAAAAAGAATTTAGATTACTGAAAATAAGAACCAACAATTACCAAAATAACCAATTGACAAACTCAGGTATATTAGTTCATCACAGCTATAAGTATGATAACTTAAAAGAGAAAGGAGAAAGGTTGGGAGAAAGGGAGGGATAGGAACCAATTATACTTAAAGCTGCAGGGATGAATACTAACTCCACAGCTATCAGCAACCAATGCCTTATCATCCACCAGAAAATATCTTACTACCCCATTGATAAACAGACCTTAAAAGCAATTACAATAATAGCAACAGAAGAATGGATTGAAGCCTGTTAACTGCCATGTCAAATAACCAGGTGCAACAGGAAAGATATGACAAACCTCTGGCGATATATAGATTCTTGAGCTTTTCCATGAGCTGCCTTCATATGCATATTATGCAGTTGCCCTTTCACACTAAGTTCCTTTGCTAGAGCCTTATTGCCAAAAACAAATGCTTGATGTGCCTATTTTAAAATATATAAAAAAATCAGTTAACAATAAGGATAAGTTTAACAGGCTAAGTTCAGTAGGGAAAAGAGACATTGGTGATGAATAATAGAGCAGACTTCAAATGCAAGATTTGACACTGGAGTCACACTTTAGAAATTTGTCATCTGCCTGTCTGGTAGTTCATGCACTCTGTACAAGTGTAACAGCATCAACTTTGGAAAGCAAGAGCTATTCATCAAAACACATATTCATTCACGATATTTAAACAGATGGTTGTGACAGATACATTCTTGCTATGTACATTATAAAATGTCACCAGACTTCTTTGATTCCCAAATTGATAAAGTCCGCTAACTGCATTAGTCAACACAAAAAATTCAATGAAGCTTACCATAAGAGAGGGGATGGGGCCATGGGGGGAATACTAATGGAGTTCATACCTATGAATTATATTATTTGATCGCACATCTAGCTAAGCTGATTGATGCCTAATATAACTTGGTGGACAACTTTAAAGTTACAGATAAAGGTAGTAGAAGCATATGCAAATATTGAACAGTTATACAAGAAAACGGCTAAAAAGGTGAACTCATCACCCAGGGTTAATACGGCAAAAGAAGCACAAATACATGAAGTAATAAAAGGGAAAAAGAAAAAGTGGCTGGCAATTAGGCTGAAACTTGGTTGAACAACTCATTTTGTCACTTGCTAAACAAAAATGTCGAACCTATAAATATGTCAGTTAAACTATGTGCAATAGATTTCCAAGGAGATACCTGTTCAAAGTATGCATTACGTAAACGTGCATGGTCTCGAGCTTCTTCCCGCAGTTCAGAGTACAAATTTGCTGCCAGCTCAATAATGTTAAAGCAAATAGATATGCACAAAGGCATAGATCACTCCTATTTAAATCTGTATAAATGATTAACTTTATTTAGTGCAGAATATTACCCACTGCATCTCCAGTTTCAAGCCAAACAGGAGCAGAACGGGCTGAACCACGAGTCTGCAACCTATTAGCATAAACCCCTCTTCCAGTTGCAGCACTGTAGGTATTAGCCGACCCATGAGAACTTCTACTTGAGCCAACAGTTGAATCGGCAGAACCATTTCTATCATACTTCCATATTCCGGAATCTTGAGATGCCATTTTCCTGACAGCTGAAGCAAAATCTATGGCACCTCTAGATGAAAGGGAAGAACCGGACTTGAACATAAGCATATTTTCCTTGTCAGAAGTTCGATAAGGATTGGCACTGTGTTGAAGGTCATCTCCTCCATATTTTGGAGGACCACTCTGACCATCTGGCACAGTAAGCGCAGGAAAGTCTAGTGTGCTCAGATTGGGAGCTGACAAGGTCTTTGAATTCAGATTCTGGTTGAAACCACCATCAACTTGAAGCTGCAATAAAAATCAATATGACCCATGAAATGATAAGCAATTAAAGACAATTAAGAAGAAAATGAAAATTTTTGAGTATGCTGGAAACACGCCCATGAGCCACAAAGCACATCACAAAAACCTTAGAAGATATAACTTCAAAAAAAAAAAAAAACAGAGAAAGGAGGCGAAAATCCCATAATGAAAAAACTACCCCTCTGTAACAGGCCACAGAATATTATGAACCAGGCTACATACAAGACTGGTTGAATTGAGTCGCCTCAAAACTTTATGTGGAGCCAGCTTTCCTGTCAAACCACAGTTAGCATCTAAAACATTATCATCCATTGCATCCACAGCAGATTCTCAACATGATCATTCCAGAAATATGGCATAAAAAGAAAGAATAAGAAAAACGGTGATTCCAGAGAAAAAATTAAGGAACATAAAAAACTGAAGTTAAGAAACATCCTTCCATCCTGATTTTGACCACAAACCATTCCTTTAGTAGTTCTGCAACTACCTAGCAATTTAATCAGAAATATAAAACATAAAACTTGAAGTTGCAAGCAACTGGTGCATTGCTGTATCTCCAAACAAAGGATAATTGCAAGTGTTTGAAACATGACCAACAAAAAACATTCGAGCATCACTCACCTCAAGCTGAGTGAGCATCTCAATAGTCAGATTTAAGTCACAACTATTGGCAAAATAAACTTCAGCAAGGCTTTCAGCAGCAAATCCAGGGAATTGAGAAGCCAAAAACTCCACAGGGTTCATTTCAGTATCATCGATAATTGTGTGCTCCCCCAACATATCATTGACGAATCCATGTCTAGAGTTTCCATTATATGGATGTCCCTCCTTCCCATTGCCAACTAGCTGATCACTGTTAACTAGTTGTTTGTCCCAAGGTTTGGCTGGCAAATGCAAAAAACTAGCTGAAGTAGGATCCTCTCCATAGGACGAAACAGGATATCTCAATTTTTCAGCGTAGTTATTACCATTACCATAATGCTGCAGTAGTTCCTGCTGATCACCAAATGCATATCCACTACCAGCAGAAGCAGGAAACCTTGAAGCTTCGCTACCATCATGCAAGGACAAACCTGCCAAAGAGAGGCTCCCAGACCCAATTCCTTGAGAATCATCCTCATTAATAACCTTAAAGTCTGGGGTAATGTCATCAGGCAGCTGGCGACGCCAGAACTGATGAGCCTCTTCGTCAGAATTATTTGAAACAGAAGACTCTGACCGATCAAGCACTGCTTTTCCTATGGTCCCAGAAGTAGCAAATTTTGCTGTTGCATCAGCGGCGCTAGTGCTTCCGGAAGAACCTGGTGACCTAAGGGAAAAGGGAACAAACTCTGCGGCATTAGGATTCAAAGTTGTTACCTTGCTAGGGGTATTTAGTTTGGTGTCACTAATTTGGGTCCCTTTCTTTAATAAGCTCATTCTTTACTTAAATGAAAAAAGATTCTACATAGATAGAGGAAACTGATGCAGAGGATACACCCTTGATTTCCACAAAACTCTACCCAAAACCTGCAAAACCGTCCATCATATCACATTATCAATAAGTCAAACTTACAAAAGAATCTTAAATTAAAGACAAACACACACGCATATATCCAGTCCTTACTAAAAAGAACTCAATAGCCAAATCGAGAAAGACATTAATACCGAAAAGCACCAAATCTCAACGGCACTCTTTATAGAAACTTTTACAATAGTAATTTCTACGAAAAAAATGATGATGACGACAATGATGAAGATGATAGTAGAAACATTAATAACCATATTAGACTCCTATGCATGCCGAATCCATTGTTTTGAACAAAACAAACATAATACTATGATTAATTAACAACTGAATGGCAACTAAAGCTTATCATTTCTTATAACCAAGATCAAACTAACATTAATTGAAGATTATAAGCTAAATTACGAGATTTTAATTAAATCAAGTGCAATAAACAGACCAAAATTTTGCCAAGACACTGTTCAAAACCCTAGAATTCACTTCTCACCAAGATTTTAACCTGAAAAGAAAAAGAAGGTACAAAATTCTCAAGTAATAATTAAACAACAAGCTCATTCAATTAAAAACCCTATTAATAATAATCAAAACTGAAATTTCCAGGAAAAAAAAATCTAACCAAAATCAAGCTTTCTAATTAAACAAAACCTTAAAACGTAAGGCAAGCATAAATCAAAGCTATAATCTCGCATTATCCAAGCCAGTAATTACAATAGATCTCAAGTCAATCCAACACACACACACACACACGCACACACACGCAAAAGGAAAAATTCGAAATAAACAGAGCTAAAAAAGAATAAATGAAAAATCGAGGGATCTAAAGGAGAAATTTATACCTTTGCGAAACAAATCAAAAGGATCCATAGCTAAAGAGATCAGATGAGAAGACAAAAAAAAAATTATAATAGAGAGGATAAGAAGATAACCAACAAAACAAATGATTTTCGGATATTTTTTTTAATAAATTTAATTGGGATTTGAGCTTTTGGTTTTTGTTTTTCTTTGGCTGTGCACTATGTTATCTCAGCTTTTGGTTTCACAAGCTTCTCTGTATCTTTCCTTTCTATCTCTTTCTCTTCCCTTTTTTGTTTTTCCTTCTCCCTTTGGTCTTCCCTTTTTTTTTTTTTTGTTTGAAAATGGCTTTAGCTAAACAGCCTAAGAGCACTACTACCACCACCACCACAAAAATATAAAACAAAGACACCCAACCCCTTCGCCACTCGATTTGACTTCTTTTCCCTTTTTTTTTTTTTTTAATTCTCTCTCTCTAATCCTACAGTTGTTTAATTAACAATATAATCTAATGCTAAGTAATAATTAATCACTTGGGATTTGGGATTCCGGAAATGAAAGGGTAAACCCCAAACATTCACGCTTGACTGCTATGACTTTCTTTAATTTTTTAGTTTTTTATTTTCTTTTATCTCACTCTATGTGATCGAAATAAGCAAGAAGCCCCTCTAGTTTTACCAAAATTAAGGAATAAATAGTGAAAAAAAGAAAACCATATCAAAAATTTGGAATTGCGTTAAACTTATGTATTAAAATTTGAAGGTTTTTTTTATGCAATGAACTAAAAATTGTCATATTCATTTGATTATTATACTTTCAAAATTTTTAAAATCTAAAATATTGAATTAAAAAAATCAAAATGTAAAAATTTTCAATTTTTTATCATTATTTGGTATCAAAAACCTTTTTCAATTTGTAGTGTCATACAGATTTGGAGTGATATAAAAAAGTTTTTCTTTAAAAAAATATATTTTTTACGAATCATTAATTTTTTTTCAAAATCCTTATTAAATAAGGTATACAACCTTCACTTTTATAAATTTTTTAAAATCTCTCTATTTATTTTTTTTTTTAATGTTTAACACGACGTTTAACTTAAAAAGAGAAAATATGTAAAAAAGAAAAAGTGATTCCCCCACAAAAATATAAATATAATTACCAAAAGCAATTTGCTATAATTGAATTTGTTCTCACATCCAAAAGAGACTTCGCTTCCACCCATGCTTGAGCCAACCAAGCCAACTGTTGCTTTCTTTCTAATTTTACACAACACCTTAACCGCTCACAGTAAGTGACAAATCGGTTGTTAACCGCAGGCATATCAAATTATGCCCTTTTCCCCCATGTCTTGTCCTTTTTCCTTTTTTTTTTTCTTAAATTTAATTCTCACAAACTCTTTTTTTCTTTTTTTGGTCAAGTTTCTAACAAAATTCATTCTCACTTAACCAAACTGCAGTAATAAATAGGCAAATGACAAATGCTTAAGCCGGAGAGAGCAGCCCATCCCACAAAGATTGTGATACCTTTGTTCTTGTTCTACCAAACTCAAAAGACTACGTCGGCTTAACTCCAAAACTTTGAGTATGATTTAACTGTTAACCAAATGATGTTGGCACCACTTGCTCCTGGTTAAGTGAATGTGATCAAAACATACCGGCGCCGGAATCATTATGCCATTGCTCTCCTGTTTTTATACCAAATAAGTTGTCAAGCACATGAGCCAACCCCTGGAATAAATAGATTAGCTAGTTAATTAAAGAGGCCATAACTGACAAAGAGACCAATCATTTATTCATTTAAAAGATTCAATCCTCTAGGTTTAGACACCCCTTGCCTTAATGCAGATTTGACCATCATATATTTTTTTTGTATTTTAGTGATTTAATTTTTCTCTTATTGAGGAGAGAGTAATACAAATTATTGTTTATAATTGGTGGTTAATGATTCTTGAAAAAAAAATATAGAGTAGAGATGACAATATATATTATATATTCGAGTTTATATCTTATATCATTCGACTCAATTAAATAGAATTAGAGTATTTTATAATTAAATTTATATAATATTTAAATAGTAAAATTACTATTTGTTACGGGTTTCAATGATGGTTATAGAGTATCCACCACTATCCAAATATAATTTAAATAATAATTTTTAATATTAAATTTTTCATAAATTACTTATAATTAATGTAATATTTACTGAAATTTTAATTATTCTATCTATGGTTTTAAATTTTAATTTTTAATTTAATTTATATTAATAATATATAGATTAATTTTGAATTTTTTTTATTTAAAGATCATATTTGTTTGTAAATGTTAATAATCAAACTCAAGTATTAGATGCAACTGAGCATTTAATTTATTAATTAATGTATAATCTTTTTACTTAAAAAATAAAATTTGAATCTCTTTTCTTTTAAATAAAAAAAAACAACTCGAGGATTAACGGTTGATTTTTATTCTAATTTATCTAAAATATAGATAGTTAAATTTTAACTGAGTTTGATATATTTTTCAATACTTCTAAAAGTGGGTGGTCATTCTTAAAATGAAAGGTAATCTTTAAATATATAATTTAATTTTAATGTAACTCATTTTTAGCTAATGGTATAAAATATAAATAACTTTTGCAAAAAAATTTTTAAAAGTTTGTTCAGTTATCCAATTTACTTTTTACTTTGACAGTAAATTAATAGTAAATTACTTTTTACCCTTAGATATTAAGCGAGACCGGATAATCTCGGATGTTAATAGATGGACATGGTCCTGTGTACCCTCCTATCTTTCGTCCATTTCCAGCCATCAAGCCAATTAATACAGACACAGATTTCGATTTCATTCCCCTGCTTATTAATGGGCGCTTAGAACAATTATCTGTACCATTAGCATTAATGTCACGCTGCTAGTAACTGATATGTCTCACTAAGTGTGGAAAAGCTCTGGGATTATCTAAAGGCATAGCATTAGGTTTCGAAAATTAGGTAAAATTCTCCTTAAATTGTTCATGTGCATGGACTAGCATAAATAAAAAGAAAAAAGGGGAAAAAACAAAAGGCGAACAGATAAGAATAGAAGGAGCCTAATTAATTCCTTAAATAATTACGGGTTATTAAGGAATTAACTGATTAAATAAACATAGCTGAAAAATTAAAATAACGACAAAAAATTACAACAGAACCAGTCCGACGCGCATGTCAGGCTCTGAACGTACGCTCGTCTCCGAGACAAAGACCTTTTTAAACGAGGTCGGTCATTATTTAACCGAACGGTAGGGGACGACACGCGCCGGTTGCAGGTCGTGGGAAAGGTGAGATACGGGAAAGAAGAGAAATCTCTAAAGAGCACGTTTGGCTTGGACGAACCGCAAGATCGGTAAATGTCCTGACAGCTGGCAGGTACTGTCCTAATAGAGGCCGCACTTTAGCACGACAATCCCGTCCTCCACAAAACATTGCACTATAACCCTTTAACCAATAATATTGTTCCACGTGTAATTATGCATTTTCTGATTTGATGAGAAGTGAAAGTTAGGGTGGGGAGGGGAGCAGCGGAAAAGTGTGAGGATTGACCGTCATGGTAAAAAACAGTGACGTGGATAGCAATTACAGTGGCTTCAAGGCGCCAATGATTGGGGCGTTTATCTTTTGATTCTTTTCCTCCCTATTTATATATTCAAGAACATTTTCACATTTCTGTAGAAATCAATCAGACAGAGGTATTTAGCGGAGAGAAAGACGCGGAAAATCTCTGTGTTAATGCAATTGAGATCCATAACTGTTTTCTCCCTTAGATTTTGCTCTTGAATTAAATAGACACATAGAAAGAAAGAGAAGCAGAGAGAGAGCCAATTTAGGCTCTGAGATGTATATGCAGTTTATAGTTCTTCTTCTCATGCTTGTTGCTGAAGAAAAATCTCAAGAAAGGGAGTGGGAGAAGGAGAGATAAACAAAATTTCTCATCAGGGTTTGAATCAAAATCAAAACTTTTTTCTTGGGTATTTACTGTTTTTTTTTTTTCAAAATTTTAGATGTTTTTCGACAAAAATGTTCTGTCTTGATTATTATGAACTGGATTTCATTGATATTACAGCTATTGTAGGAGCACTCCAATGGCTGCAGCGGTTTCCAAGGATGCAAAGAAAATGGAGTCCGTTAAGCACAAAAACCTCCAAACTGAAGTTGAGTTTGCAGAGTGTGATTGTTGCGGTTTAACTGAGGAGTGCACGCCCGCTTACATTGCTCGCGTCCGTGAAAAGTTTGAAGGGCGTTGGCTTTGCGGGCTTTGTTCGGAGGCAGTTAAAGACGAGACAGTTAGGTCTGAGGAAGATATTACAACCAACGAAGCGTTGGATAGACACCTGAAGTTTTGTGAGCAGTTCAAGTCTTCGAGTCCTCCAGCTAATCCTGCTGAGGATTTGATCTCTGCAATGAAACATTTGCTTCGAAGAACTTTGGATTCTCCAAGGAAAAGTGGACCACCATCTGCCTCGTTTGTTCGATCCAAAAGTTGCTTTTCCACTCTGTCAAATGGAGAAGTTAGGAGTGAGGTTTAAATGGAATCTAGTATTGAGAAGCGAAGTTGAATAAAGGATTGTTGAATAAGGCTACCAAATTGGAAGTTTGGATTTTGCTTAGGCAAGGTTTTAACTTCAGATAAGTCATGTTTTCGGTTTATTTGTTGTCATCTTTCTTGACATAAGGCATTGGATGAATGAAACTGGAATCTTCCTTCATAGCCTTCAATAAAATGCTCTATAGGTTTATCAGATTCTGGTTTTAAATTTATAATTTCCTTCAAATATTTTCTACTTTGGCAACCAGAGTCTACTCTGTTGGAAGTCTTGTAAAAATCCATTTCTTTTAACAAGGAATGTATTCTAGCCAGTTGTGCATTGCCCTTTGGCTGATGTTGAGTATTTGTTCATACTCTTCTGATAAGAAATAAATGCGGTTTCATTATGAGTAAAAAGCACTCGTTGTTCTTGAATGCAAATGAAAATGAAACATTAATATCCCCTGCAAAACAACATGCGCCACACATCTCTATACAACTTCCTCAAGGCTTATTTGTCTTCTTGTTATTTTGGCTTTCCCATTTGCAGAGAGAGAGAGAGAGAGAGATTTGATGTTATGTAACGTTCTCCCCTTCGAGAAGATGAAAGGATAGGGTAAAAAGGAGCCTACGTGAGAGAAATTAAGTCTGTGTGGTGCAGTAGCAGGTGGACAGGGCAAAGCACAGTGGGGTTCCAGAAAAAGATCCTAGAAATAAAAAATATCTGGGGATTGTCACTGGAGCGTTGGACCTTAAGACTGTGACCTTAAGAGTTCTTGGCATTAGTTCATGCGGCAATAGTTCATGCGGTTGGTTGTTGAGCCATTACTCTAGTATGAGCATCATGGCTCATTTTTGAGAATAAAAGGTTGGGTCCAAATAGGAAAAGAACCTCTTGGCCCCACTGCTGATCAAGTTGATCAGTGAGATGGAGCAAAAAAAAAAATGTCTAAGAATTCTTTTTCTTAAATCCAAAACTTATCCTATATAGATATTCAGATAATGGAATGTCATACAAGCTTTCATTTTTTTACAATTTATATGTTGAAAATGTTATAATTAATGTTAAGAGTTGCTTAAATTGTACACCAAAAAGACAAAATTTATAACTTAAAGATATAAATACACAATGCAACTCTTGATAATGTAATATAAATAGTATCAAATATTAGTACTTTATTTGAACTGCATTTAGAATTATTTCAAACTCCGATAATAGTATTTTTTTAGGACATATAAGACTTGATCATCTCTATCTTTAATCACTATATATGTAATGATTTGTTTATATTAATAATTTGATTTTCTCATTAAAATTGATTTAGAGGGGTGAGAAAGTTTTCAGATTGCTAATTATGTTAATTTTATACATTAGTCCACATATTAATTATTAATATGACTGCACTGATCATAAAAATTGATTAGTTCATATTACGTTTTGTACTAATTTAAATTAATTAATTATAAGTTCTAAGTCATCCGTAATTATTGATCTTGCTTAGATGTTTGAAAGGAAACCCTAGCTATTATTGTTTAATATTCTTACTACACAAACACACAAAAAAAAATCAATAATTTTTGGAGTGTATAATGTTAAAAAAGAATTTACCTCTTGATACTTATGATTGATGCCGGCTTGCCTGTCCTATCCAGGGGTATATGTGCTTTCATATCATGATTTCTAACAAGACAAATGCCTACAAGAGTACAAATTAACTGACGTGTCAAAAATACAATAATTTTATCTATTGCTATTACCATTTTCTTGTATTTTTATTTGCCAAAATATTACATATCTTAAATTACGAAACATGAGTATTCTAACATCACCTTGATTTATTAATTCAGTATTTTATAAAGCTTGGTAAGAAATTTAATTTTTACATAATATTTAGATTATAGCTTTTTGTTAAGAACAATTAAACGAAGGTTTCAGCCAAAAGAAACCAAACTGTAAATCAACAAATGTGGTTAACTTATTCTTTACATCAATTATTTCATTTCGTGCTTTTGAGTAAATAATATTTTCAATTATTTTTTAATATGCATTTTATTGATGTATCATCTAGAATTGTTAAAATTATATGATTATTATTGATTGAAATTTCTATATTTTGTAAACAAAAAAAAAACCCTAAACTACACTAAAACTAGTACTATAAGGTTAGTATAGTCCAATTGTTATATATTTTAGTAGCATTTCTTACTCAAGGAAGTAGTAGATAAAGCTTGCTGCTACTTGCTAGGATGCGGCTTTGCTTTTCGTACAGGCAAGGACGTTCTATTCTATTGCGGTACACACTACAGACTGTTCATTGCCTTTGTACCGCACACCCCACTCTTTTATCACTTGTGTAATAACAAATATAACTTTAACTTCCATGTCGCTAAATGCACCGCCATGGCCATGTATTTGCAAAGCTGCCACTCGACAATAAAAAAAGGTTAAAATATTACTTATGATTATATATAATTTATATTAAATACAATAATTAATAATTGATACTCTAAATTTGTTCTATTTATTTTGTTAGGGGTCTATGTTTTTATTAGAAGATTATGATTGGCCAAGACATAGGTCAACGGAGAAATAATCAATTCCAACAAACTGAATTGGTTTAAATGTGGACAATGATTGATGATTTGATTTGAACTGTGTAATTTTTATAATGTCAAAAACTCATGAGAGTACAAATGAAAAATCCAAAAAATAACCATACAAAGTTTTTACATTAAAAAATATTCTCAAAACTCTCATTTAACTCTTTCAATGGAATATTAATTTAAACCCAAGAAATAGAAGGGCAAATGGATGTGTCTATTTGACAAGATTGATAATAACATTGTCCCTATCTTAATCAGCCTTATAGCCCAAGAGTACAAGTTAAAAAAGGTTTGGCGGCTCAATCCGAATTTGTTTCCAACGTTAATTATGAATTAATCGTTTCCCTTCGTATAATCCAAAGTCCGAATTGACCCACAAAGATAAACCAGCTGGCCCGCCTGACCCACACTTTCGTGAACGTTACAACTTCTCTTAATCCAAGAAGTAACAAGGGTTAATTTTGTTTGTTTGCCCGTAAAACCCTGAAAAAGGTCAAAAAAAAAAAAACAAAGAAGCAAAATGGTAAATATAACATCAAACAATGGCATTTTCCAAACATAAAGTACCAATCCTATTCTCAAATTGTACTACACAAATTTAGATATAGTACAGCTGGGTTGCAAGTTGCAACGTCTTCTTTTATGAATATAAATTCTTCAACTTTAATCTTTGATCTCTCTTTTGGTTCTGGGAAACTAAGGAAAAATGTTGTACTTCATTTAATTTATTGACATTGATTTTCTTTTCTTTTCTTTTCTTCACCGTAAAAAACTGTGGAGATGATGCACATGACCTTGTACTGGAGCCGGCAGGTGACTCTCCTGTTCAGTTCCTGGCAGACCGAGTCATGGCTGAGTTACGCGTTGACTCTTGTGGCTTGTGTTTTGGCTTCTGCTTTTTACCAGTACTTGGAGCACGTAAGGTATCAGGTCAGGCGGGGAGGGAAGCCGGCGGAGGGGACGGCTGAAGAGCCGCTTTTGCTGCAGCAGAAGGGAGCTGGGGCTGGAAATAGAGGTAAGTGTTCGGTGAAGAAGATCGTGGGAGGGGTGCTTTTTGGGTTGAGCTCGGCTTTAGGGTATTTGTTGATGCTGGCGATTATGTCGTTCAATGGAGGTGTGTTTCTGGCTATTGTTTTGGGCTTAACGGTTGGGTTTTTGGTGTTTAGGAATGAGGAGGATGATGAGATTGCTGGCGTTAATATCACTTGTGCCTGTGCCTAATGGAAGAAAGGGCAGTTTATTTTCCCCTTTTTCTATTCTGTTTTCTTTTTTCAGGCGTAGGTGCCTGGGCTCTGTCTGTTTCTGGGTTTGGATTGGGTGATCATGGTGTGTGTCAATATGTAATCATCTGACTCTCTAAGTTAAAAAGTCATTACTGTAATTGTCAATCGGTAGTTTTTCTATTTATGATTGTTTGTTTTGGGAGAATGCTTTTCTTGATTTCAAACTCATTAATGTTGGTATTAATACCACAAAATTTTTAAAGCATTAGTCAATCATGTATCAAAAAAAGCAACGAATTGGATATGTTTTAGGTTTAGAAAACAACGCTTTAACCAGTACAATGAAAATGGATGCAGACTGATTTTGTCATGAATTTGGGACTTGCCTAATGGTTAACCTAATCTGTTGGGGTGGCGGCCATTCAAATGTCTAGCTCATCCAAATGGTCACGGAGTTTACAGCTACCCCTTAAAATGGGAGAAAAAAAAGAAAAAGAGAGATTGATTATGTCATGGTCAATTATGCAGGGCAGAGAACGTGGCTCTAAAACAGAGAATCTGTTTTGGTTTAAAGAGAAATCAATGGGAAGCTGGAACAAGGAATTTGTTCTATTTACAGTTTCGAGTTGTCTTAATCCCAGACAGACAAATTTAGATGATGCAATGATGTGAACTGCGAAGGTTGGCCAATAAATTTATTAATACTCAGCTTTCTTACAGACGACCATTCTTTGCATGAAGCATGCTGCATTTTGGAACTTTCTTTCCAGGCTTCTTCAATAACAATTCTTGATATCGTCATTCTAATTTCTAAACAAAACCTTCTCAATAGGCTCCGTTGGAACCTTTCCAGGTTCATAAATTGTGCTCCTACATTTGGGTGGGTTAACAAACTAGGTAAGGTCTGGTTAACAAACTAGACAAGACAGTAGAAGGAAGTTGCCCA